CTAGCAAGGCTGATTTTACCGAGCGCGTCGGTGCCCATATCATCACATCCAATGTGGGCTACGCGTGCAACTCAGGAGCCAAAGGGTCGCACATCGACTTCGCGCGTCTGCTCAATGCTTCGCCCACTCGGTCGAGGAGGAGCTCGCAGCACCGTGGAAGACCCACATCGCCCTTTGCATTCGGTTTTGAGACCGAGGGCAGCAGCTTCTCACGCGAGCGCCGCCCATCGCGCCGAGGTCCCCTCGGGCTCAGCGGCCTGGACAGGAACCCCATCCTGAGTCCAAATCTAGTCGCTCTCGTGCCTCTGTTCTGGCGGCCCAGACTGCAGCGGCGAAGCGCGAAGAGGTATGCCCCGCACTTGTTGGGGCGCCCTGGAAGCCATTGATCTTCAGAAGATCAGGAAGGCCACGAAGGAGACCCTCACCCCTGAGCCCGAGCGCTCCGACCCGTTTCGCGACGACGCCTCTTCCTGCTCCGAGGAAGACCCTCGGGCAGATGAGCGGAATTTTTGTTCGGAGGTCAGGCCCACATCAGGGGCCCCTTCCGACCTTTCCCCCTTCCCCTAGCTGCGAATCTCCGACGGTCAGTGATGTTGCCCCTTCGGTGGAGGCCAGCGGAAGCCTCGTGGGCACGGGCCCCCCGCGGCGGCCCCCCCGCGGGGGTCGCGCGCGCCCCCCCGGAGGCCCCCTCCGAGGGTAACTTTGAGAACTGCGGCAGCACTGACCTTGTGATGGCGCGACCCAGCCCCCCGAGCCCCGAGGGGCACCTAGCGTCATTTATATGATCCCCCTTCACTAGTGGGATAGGCACAGGCAGCCTGTAGGATTTTCGCGTTTTCTCACCCCCTCCCTTTACCTGCCCATATCTGGGACTCTAGAGCCTTCGAGGTGGACCCTGAACGAGCTCTACCAGTCAGTGGCATGCACGCGTCTTGGGTGTCTGCGGTTGAGGCGTGATCATCATGGATGTGACAATGTTTCCCAAGGACCCAGTCGAGCTCCTGCCCCCACCTTCACAGCGCAGGAAGTCCGAATGTCGCACAGATATCGAGCGGCCCCGTTGCGCGCCGTGGTTGCAGGCTGGCGGACGAAGTTCCACTCGCTGCTCAGCTCTCCACAAACATCGTGCTCGAGGCAATGGACACGTGCAGCAATGGAGATGGGGAAGATAATGTCGACGCCTCCTTGAAGACCGGCCCGAACAGGTGCGCGCCCCCCTGTCGTCATGTTTGGTGCCGCCCTAGTTTGGATGGCTAGCTTTCTTATCGTTAATCGACGCTTGTTCGCTCGTCAAGGTCGACACTTTCGCCCAGCATTCGAACACAGTCATGATATCGAGTCAGAGGAAAGCCCTACACGTATCTCTTCGGGAGTTCCAGGACTGGGCCATCTCGGGGAACTCCTTCGGTGCGCTCCACAGAGCCATGAGGCAAGAGCCCGTCCCAAACATCGAGATCTTCGACGGCTCGGATATTCTGTACCATCTGAAGGATATAGTGAATTGCAAGACAGTGGGCCCCGCCCATCTCCGACCCCGACGAGGCCTTTGGGAACGTCCTCGGAGTCATCCAGCAGGCGATCAGAGACGACCTTGACCCCTTCCCCTGAGTCAGGAGTGGAGGATGTGGCTCTGAGAACCACGAAGCCTCGCGCGGGGATGGGAGTAGACCGCCTCGCGCCATGTGATATAGAGCGACCACCCGACAATGGAGTCGCCGAGTTATGCACGCTGCACAACGCGATAGGGCACGTGTTAGTCTGGATTCTCCTTTTCTCTGCCTAATTCAAGCTTCGCGCGGCCCGCTTAGCTCCGACCGGAAGAGGTGCGCTCTCGACCCGCGGATCAAACATATGTTAGTCTGGCCCGTGCAGACCATGCTCGTCATCGGACGCCTCATCCCGAAAAAGTTGAATGGCGACCGCGTGATTGATTGGGATCCTGTCGATGCTGTCTCGGGCATGGAGTATGTCGCGGGAGCCTTGGGTGAAGTCTTGGTCGAGCGCGGCACAACCCCATTGGGATGCGGCTATCACTGGGAAGTCATCTCTCAGGGAGGCGTTTAGGAGAGTTCTCGATGAAGAAGTTGCGGGAGTCGTGGGAGTCACGCACGGCCATGCCCTCACCTACACTTGCGGGTACTACGACAATATACCATGGCCTTAGCTCGAGATGCACCACGACTCGGGTTCCCGCCCACACTTGTTTATCTTGAGGTGCTACAGTGTCCATACCCTCGGTCCATGCAGCAGATCAGAGCATTTTCGAAGACCTTTGAGCCAACGTGCAGCGTTGCCCAAGGCTTGCGATCTGGCACACGTTTCGCGACAGCGGTGACGCATTTTATCACGGGGCGCACTTGTACGACACATGTGAGATGCAGCCATCGCTTGTGGGTCGACGATTTGCCACAAGTTACCAGAGGCTCGGCATCGCAGGTCAAGCGGGATACGATCATCTGCTTGGTCACCACGGCGCGACAACTACAGACCCAGGGCTTGCAGGTAGCATCGATTTCTGTTGTCATGTGCACGAAGATCGGCTTGGCCAGGGACATCGTTCGCGCGCGTAGGCTCCGCGGCGCGACTGCGACGGCGGCCCAGCGCGCGAGTTACCTCGGCGTCGACCACGGCGCCGGCGCGCGACATTCTCGGGGGCAGAGGTCCACCAGGAACGCCAAACACCTGACTCGCCACCGCAATGCGGCCAAGCACGTCAGGACTGTTCGACGGATCCAGGTCACATCGAGACTGGGGCGCCGAAGCGCTCAAGCTGCTGGTTCATACGGACACGAAATGTTCTGGGCTTTGGTCAGGAGCTCACGAGGTACAGAAGGCTCCTCGGCGCCGCATGCGGTATCAGGATCCATGGGCGATGCCTGAACTCGTTATTATATTTGGCGTTTCGTTCATGGTCCTCTCGCTCATTGGCTCGTACATTGGAGACGACATCCTGAGGCGCGCGCTGGGGTCATTCGGGCGCGGCCTAGAGTTCGCCATAAACTGGAAGCCCGATCCCGCGCCCAGGTCCCGGCATATGCGCGGGCCCATGTCCGCGGTGATCCATCATCTGCCGGAGTTCGGCGGGACCCCGAGAACCCCCGCGGCATGGGGTGCCCCAGGCAGGACCGACGTCTTGGACATTTCCTGATGGGAAATTCACGGGGGTCGAATCGAAGCCATCGGCGATGCAACTTCCAGGAGCCCGGCGGGGATCCCAAAACCATTGCCCTGGGACAGTTGTCAGCCAAGGCGACTCAGCATTACGACGGGGAAGGCGCCCCACGCGGCACCGATCGTCTCTCCTACCGACGGCTGCTACGCCAATTCCAGATGATACCAGGGCATGGACGACGGTTGGCAGGGCTGCTGTTGAATGCGGCGCCTGGAGGTGCATGGGCCAAGGCTCGGAAGAAGTCGGAATTGCAGTATCCCATCAACGGTGGCGGCAGCCATAACGACATACGCGACAGGATTGGCGATGCCAGCGAGACCTCCCTCCACCGCTACTAGTCATGCCGCTGCAACGTCGGTTGCGTGGCCTTCGCGCTGGGTGACGCTCTGATCCCACAGGCCCACAGGCTTGCAGTCAAGGGGATGTACATTCGCGCCACTGATGCCGAGGCCTGATCCCAAAGAATTGGACCGAGACACTACCCCAGCAATACATGGACGATTTGCATAGTGACGGATTGAACGAGAGTGTTGTTCGACATTGTCTGCCGCATGGTACTGCTGACCATCCTACATTGGTTTTCGGCGACGCCAGCGGGGGGCCAGATACTATGGGCCCCCGTCTACGCCGAGTGGTTCCCGGCCTCACGGTCATCAGCGACTTCAACTGTATGAAGCTTGACTGTCCAATAGCATGTGGCTCGGCGGGAGCCAGGCAAGTGGGCGCCCGTGGAGAGATCAGAGCATTGTGGCTCTGCTTTCTCTGCTCTCACGGGTATATTCATTAAGCGATGGATGGTGGGAATGTGTATTTGGGTTGGCCCAATCAGTTCTACCCCCAACCGACAGGCGCCGATGCAAATATGGGCTGAAATCGCTGTTATGATGGGAGATCTTGATTACCATGAGATTCGCGTTTCTTTTATCCACTCGCATCAAGGGCCCGAGGCGATGATCGATGACCCTTCGAATGCTTGGATGATTACAAGGAATGCTGCGGTGGGCGAGCTGGTCATGCTTGCAGCCCTTCATGTGCGGCTACCAGCGTGCGCGAGATTTCGCATCCACCAGCTGGAACGAGACGCGCTCCTGATACGACATCGGCTTCCACGTGCAGTTTTGAACAGCATCCGCGCGGGAGCGGGCGCAACCGGTGAGTTGAAAGGCAAGCGTTCCTCTCGTGACCCTGTTCCCCCCCCACTGCCCCTTCCAGTGTCCTAACCATTTCGACCTCCCACGTGTTGGAGGAGCGTGGTCGCCGCTGTCCCAGGTGTTTTGGAAGCGCCTCGCTGGCCACTGCTAGCCCTTGGTAGGCTAGTCAGTGTTTCGCCCCAGTGAATTTAAACGGTTCGTGTCATACCCTCGGGACTGACGACAGCATTCACATAGGGGGTGGCTGAGAGGCGCAAGCCTCGCGGAGCCCCTCGGGTGCATCGCCTGGCTCGCCCGCCTCGGTTCGGGGGCGTGCGGCTTCAGACATGCTGGTCGACGTTCTGGTTCGCAGTTGACTTCTGTTCACGGTTGTGGACGGTAGGCTCGCGTCGTGCCGACGCGGTGACGACCCCAGCTCGGGCGTTCAAGGTTGAGTGCCGCCAGTGGCCCATAAACAATAATTCTGCAACGATCGGGCGATAATTCTGCAACGATCTGGCGATCGAAACAACGCCGACCGTTCAAAGTTCAAACGATCCACGCGGTATCAGAAGCCAATGCCGAAGTCGTCACCACGCGAATTTGCCATAGTCGGATTCTTGATCCTCAGTTCTGATCTGCAGGGGTGGTCGTTGCTTCCCTTCCTCTCCTCCCGAGAGTCCGCATGGTTCCCCGAGGCCGTGCTGACGGGACAGTCCGCAGGTGGCGCCGGTGCTTGGGATTTTGCGGCTCTCAGGCCGATGCTGTGGTCCGCAGTCAACGTCATATGCATGCCGGCGGATCCAGAGGCACTGGGTGGGGGGAAACGGGGGTGGGGGCCGAGGAAGAGGCGATGGCGAGAGGGAAAGCAAAAGGATCAGGAAGAGGAGGAGAGCAGGTGCGAGGATGCGAAGGGGGCTTGGCTTGGAGCGAAGGATGGAGGAGTGCGGAGGACAGAGGGAGGGGAAGGGGAGAGGCGGGAGGGAAAAGGGGACGGGGGTTGGTCGCAAGTCGCTCCCCGAGCGGCTCCGTCCCTGACATTGTTTTCGTCGTTGAAGACGCGGAGCGGGGAGCTAGATGTGCTCGATGGAGTGTTGCCACGTTCTCCATCAAGACGGCTCCACCTCCACCTCGTGTTCCTTATCCGACCTCCTCATCTAAAGAAATACTACGTTGTAGATGTTGACAGCATCGGACCGATCGACCGACCGATAGATAGGGGCAGGATGAGGATGAGGAGCAGGAGGAGCACGAGGAGGACCTTCCGTCCCCGTCCTCTCTCCCTTATCTCCTTCGCCCTCCCCTCGACCTCTTCGCCACCGTTCCTCACCTCTCCCTGCCCTGCTCCTTCCATTGGACCATCGTTTTCTTTTTTCCCTTCGGCGCCCCTCTCCTCCACGGGTGATTGAAAATCTAGATGACGTCCCTCCCCTTCCCTCCAACCCTGCCTGTTCTGAGCGAGCCCCCTTCAGGTGGCGAGCCACTTGGAGGGCGTGCCCGTTTGGGTGGTCGGCTGGACAGGCGACGGGTACGGAGGCAACGACGACGTGGTGGCAGCTCTGAAGCAGCGGAAGAGCGGGGAGACGCGGTACACCCGTTACACCCAGGCGCCGGCGCCGCCAGACCCGAAGTATCGGGACATTCCGGGACAGGGAAGGCACCCGCCACCAATGGGACGAAAAATTTAACAAACCGTTTTTCATTCGGGAGGACCCCACTCTATCAACGCATGAGGTCGCAGGAGGGTAAGCGTCGTTGTCGTCGCTGTTCCTTTTCCAATAGCCGCTTGGGATTAGAAACATGCAGGCGTGATGCGTTAAGGGGACCCAGAGCGAGGAGGAGGAGGAGAGGAGGAGGAGGACGAGGCTTGCGTATTCTCTGTTACACAGTACATTGGCCATGGGGATCTGGATTGGTCAGAACCACACACAAGGCTCCCAGGGTCAATTTCACTTTATTTCTAATGGGTCGGCCGATCGCCGAATGAAAAGACATGTGAGTGGCGACAAGTGTGGGGAGCCCCGAGGAGGAGGAGGACTTTGCAGGGGGTTGCTAGAGTTCGGCGGCGATCGAGGGGGAGAAGTGAGAAGGAGGAGGCCTTCTCAGAAGGCGGCGGGGCTTCTCAGAAGCCTTCCGGCCTTCTGAGGGGTTTTTGTGTGTCTTCGGGGAGGGCTTAGAAAATTTGTCAGAAGACCGGTGGACTTCAGAGCCTTCTGAGAAGTTCCACCCCGGGCTCTCCGCCGAAGAGTAAGTGGCATTGGGGGCACCAGGCTGGTCCAGACCGTGTGGCTCTTACCATGTAAAGTGGAGCACAGGTGCACTTCACAGTGTTGTCTCAATGGGTAGGCCGATAGCCGCATCGGTTTCCAAACAGTAAGCCAGGGCCGTGACCAGGAGCTAAAAAGTTACAATATTTTTGATGTTGGGAGCGCCTGGAGCCAAGAAGTGACGCCATGTCTCATTCCGGAGCACCCCGAGACAAAAAGTGACGACATATACGTTTGGGAGCACCAGGTGTTGGTGTCAGTGCTGGTATCGATGATGATCTTGGTGATGAGGAGGAGGAGGAGGAGGATGGTGATGATGTTAATGATGGTGATTGTCGTGGTGATGGTGAGTGGCAGAATGAGTAAGTATCATGAGTAAGATGAATATGCTAATGGTGATGGTAATGATGATGATGATGATGATGATGATGATGATGATGATGATGATGATGATGATGATGATGATGATGATTATGATGATGACGATGATGATGATGATGATGATGATGGTGAGCATGATGGTGATCATGATCATGAATATGATTCAGATACGTACGTTGATACTGATGATGCTGATGATGATGATGGTGGGGATGCTGATGATGATGCTGAGTATGATTATGTTGATGGTGATGGTGATGGTGATGTTGATGTTGATGTTGAGGTGACGATGTGTAATGATGGGTGATGGTGATTGAATTTGGTGGTGGTTGTGATGGTTAGGAGGACGAGGAGGAGGAAGAGGAAGGGTGAGGTGAACTTCTTGCGCGTCAGTGTCTAGAGAAAAAGATAGCCCTATCTTGGTCTTGAGGAAAACGGCGGCGCACACACACACACACACACACACACACCACACCACACCACACCACACCACACCACACCACACCACACCACACCACACCACACCACACACACCACACACCACACACCACACACCACACACCACACACCACACACACACGACACACACACACACACACCACACACACGCACACACACACACACACCACACGCCACACACACACACACACACACACACACACGCGCGCAGAAGGGGACGTGGTGAGGGGGCGGCCTTCAAAGAAGGCACCCCGCTCCGAACTGGCCGTCCTGCCTCCCGACAGACTGTGTGGGAAGCATGCGCGGAGGCTCAGGAGGGGAAAACCGACGCAGGCACCAAGAAACGTCGGGGAACTGCAGGAGAAGACGAGACCCCAGAAAATGTCAACAACAACAACAACAACAACAACAACAACAAACAAAAACTATGGGTGCTCCTGGGCCCCTGGGCCCCATTCGGGGGGCGGGGCCCAGGGCCGCCCTCCTCGCCCTGGCGCGCCGCCAGGCCGCCCAGGCCTCCCTGGTGCGGGCCCAGAGCGTGTTTGGGATCCGCTCGCGGCCAGGGCAGGAGCCTCGAGGCCGATCAGAAGTTCGCCCCTGCCAAAACACTTTTTTGGGTCTGCGGGGCGAGAGCGAACCTCTTCCGGCAAGAGCTGGGCGGGCTGCGCGCAGCTCTCATTGGGGAGACAGGGCACAGGCGGGCGGGGCCTCAGGCGGCCGGAGGGCGCGCCGGGGTGCAGGCGGTGCCGAGGAGCTTGCACAGGCCCCTGCCAAAGCACGGGTACCTCAGTGTCTTGGGTTCCGCGGCCCACGCGCTCTACATACCTATGGCAGCGTGGCCCTCGGAGGGATGCGGTGCTCTCTCCGATCGGCCTCGACTGCGCATGCCCCAGGATGCGGGCCCCAGTGCTCGCTCCGAGGAAGGAAAGCGGAATAAGCATAGACGTGCGAAACTCCGCGTGGATGTCTTGGATCTGCGCTGGAAGCCTTTGGCCGCGCTTCCAGCGCCGCACCTGGGGCGCAGCGCAGGTCCAAGAGATCCGCGCGGAGCTCCGAAAGTTGATGCTTCGCTGTAGTTGTTCATGCTTTTGTTTCTTCCATTGTGGTTCGTGGCTTTTGTGGGTGGTGGACACTTCCGATACGACCACACTTTGGTCGCATCGGACGTGCCCATCTGAGCCCCAAGCGAAATCCAAAGGACGGGTCCACCTGACCCAAGAAATCCCAAGCGGAATGCCACCTCTGTCCGCATTGTGCTCAACATTCCCAAGCGCCCCCATAGGGGTGCTTGAGATTCGGTGTTGCGGCTTCTCCGATTCTCAAGGAACCCACAAGAATTTGCCAGCAACTCCAAAGCCCCCGGGGGCGCCCAAATAGCTGGGCCGTTCGTGGCCGTGCCAGGAGGGCGTACCCACCTGACCCTGACCCTGGTTTGGCCCGGCCGCGACCGGTACAGGTGGACAGTGGGCGTGATTTTGGCAGAGCGTTGGGATTGAGCACAGGCAGACCCCGGAGGTATTCCTGGCTGGCCTACACAAGGTACGTCAAATAATGAACTAGCCTGTCAGCAGTTGCCCTGCAGAACCATAGAATCCCATAGGAACCTCAGGAAGTTCGAACATGCCCCTAAATTTCTTCTCGCACGATTCCTTTTCGTAAGTGCCGACTGCAGGCCCCATCCACGGCCGTCTCAACAGCTCTACCTCGGGGAGCTTCGCACCCAGACTGGCCAAGGTGCCTGTGGAAGGCGGCCGGCCGAGGAGTACCTCTGGGAAATGCCCCTGCGCGCAGCCCGAGGCGCTGCCCAGTCCCCCCACCCGACCTCCGCAGGACATGCTCAACCACGCGAGCTACGACCTGATCTACAGGGACCCGCGCCTCTGGGCCTGGGCGCTCCAGCACCGCCGGCCGGAGGCCGTCGCAGCCTGGAGCCGGTGACCTCGCGAGAGGGGCCACCTGCCAGTCGCCTTCGCTCCTCCCCGCCTTCTCCACGTCGCCCTCCTCCTCCTCCTCCTCCTCCTCCTTCTCCTCTTCCTCCTCCTCCTCCTCCCTCCTCCTCCTGCTCCTCCTCCTCCTCCTCCTCCTCCTCCTCCTCCTGCTCATCCTCCTCCTGCTCCTCCTCCTCCTCCTCCTCCTCCTCCTGCTCCTGCTCCTGGTCGCCCTCTTTTCCTCCTCCTCCTCATCCTGCTCCTCATCCTCCGCTTCCTCCTCCTCCAGAGGGAAACGTTGGCAGACTCGGTTGCGTCGTTGAGGTGCACTTTGGGTCTCGACAGGAACCAACCATATGCTGGCTTGCGGCACGGCGTCTCGGCAGAGAGCTAGCAGCGGCAAGAGGAGCGCCAAATGCGCCCGACGTGCACGCCGAACGCGCACGAACAGGCAGAGACGAAATAATATGATTATCCAAGGTGTAGTTTGCAATGTGATCGGCGACTTTGTTGTGCTGGCGTGGCTGCCCGTGCACGATGTTCGTCTGAGTTGTCCAGCCTCGCGTTTAGGGTGGCAGCAATATTGTTGGAAAGTCCGCACGAAGACCCTGTGGCACCAATCATCCACTAACATTACGCGACGTTTGACCACATCGGTAATTGTCTTTGGTGTCTGCGCGGGTGATACGGATTTGAATTGTGATGGGTTGCGGCTGGCCAGATTGCCTTGCATGCGGTGACTGCCTCAACTTCAGAGCGCAAGGCTTGTAATACAATTCCTACCAGCCGGCGCAAGGTGAATAAGAGCGTCGGGTTGCAAACATCTCGGTTCTCTCGGCGTCGTCGTGCCCATGCCCATACGGCCAGCTGAATTCAGCGGCCATATCAGACGGGCGGTTTTCCGATTCGAACACCAGGGACCATTTGCCGTGCTGTGGAGAGTAGCCCAAACATGACCACCCGCGCCGCGGCGAACCTGGTTGAGCGCGCTTGCGAGGATCTTGGGTGTTGTATTCGCAGGTTCCGATCCACTCCACGTGCATAGGTTGACATGTGTTGGCGTTTTGTATGTCGTCTCCCCTACTGCTGGCAGCAACCGTTTCAGTAATAGACAAGCGCTTCAGTATCCGAAAAAGCGTTTCAAGAATAGGCCTAATCGCTGCATAACGAACAATATTCATGACTTCGTTGGTCCCTGTCGCCGGCTGTTTTCATGCGACAAGATTGTTTGTTTGTGGTCCTTCGGAATATTCATGAAATTCTCGTTTATGTTTTTTATCGAACTCAAAGGGCAAACCTTGAGGGCGAGAGTGGAGGAGGGAAAGGACCTAGGACAACCAGAAGGTGCACGGCAAAAGAAAAAAGGGAGCGAAGGGAGCAAAGACAATCAAGAATGAATGTATTAGGCCCCGCTGCCCCGCTATGCCGCTGCACGGTTACAGTCTCGCGTGCATTATCTTGTTGCGGACCGGAGTTTTTGTATAGCAAATCTGCACGTGCCCGCGTGTGCGAGTGCGATTCAAAATCATTTGCCTCCCAAGATCAATGCCCGGACAAATTTGATGTGGTTTTTGCGCGCCCCCTCGGTGTGAGTTTGCAAGAAATCTAAGAATTTGATTTAGTTTCTGGGCGTCCGCCTCAAAGCAGGAACCAAATGCAAGTTTAGCGAGAACCGTTTTGCAGGATTGTTTTACCACGTTTCACGAGAAGCTACATCCGCGTACTTCTCCAAGATACTGGGTGTGTCACGGAGATGGTGGCAGAAAATATTGGGAATTCGATCTTGCATGACCATTTGCCCGGCGAATCAAAACAAGACTTGTTCGTTCGCGGGCAATGTTGATACAAATATTTTCATTTGGGACATTCAAGTTGCACGCCATCTCAAGTACTCCTGCAACCATCACACACTTGTGGACCTCAAGCTTAAGTCGAGTATTCAAGAATAGTCCAAATATAGTATCGGCACCATGTTTTGATAATTTTTCAATATTTTGGAGCACTTGTTGGTTCAAGCCCGAGCCAAGCCCCTTTTTCCTCGCTCACAGTTTACACAATTTCTCCTTCGACATTTTCTCTTCTCTTTCGTGCGACGTGCGATGGATGGCATGGCTTGGACAATTCATTCAAAGAGCAGCTGGTTGGGTAGACTGGCGTGTCGTTGGTGGATATGTTGTATCTGCTGCAGGGCGTGCAGCAGCGACTACCAGCATTTACGTGAGCCAAGCTTCGACAAGTGTGCAAACTAGCAACAGCCCACACTACGGTTCTGTGCACGGGAGAAGAACCCAGCTACTACATTATACCGGGCTGTGCGCCGATAGTGGTGGCGTATGGATGGCTCTGGGTAGGCATGGTATTGGGGTCAATGCTGACGATCATTATTATGACATTCGACGGCCGACGGACGGTAGGGCCGGGACCGAGTATGACAGCTGGAGAACAGGAGAGGCACGATTTGTTGGACCACATCCAGGTTTATGGACCCCCAACCCTTCAAAAATACGCGGCCTTGGCGCAGACGAACGAGGTCGAGATGCTGTACTGGATCGTCGGCATATCCCTTCTGGCGCAGCGACCTCCAGGTTTGGAGGGCCTCCGGCCCCCTGCCCGGGGGTATTGAAGATACGCTGCAAAGGAGGGGGCACGCACATGGGCGACGATAACAACCTGTGCTCCGACACTACTGCTGTTATACCTTCCTAGCCGCATGGTGGGGTTGGAACGGGTGCCCCTATTTCCTCTGCCGCGTTTTGTTCTGCGCTCCCTATTGGATCGTTCGGACCTTAGAAAATTACGGAGCGAATGGGGCACGTGTGATGGGGCTTTGCGGCTGGTTGGCGCCACGGGTGAGGGTGTACGCTACGCGCCCGATGACAGTGCCAACGGGAGTGCCCACGCTGATCACGGGACGATGGCGGTTTTTGCGCCGGCGTGGGGGCTAAATCGTAATAGTATTACCCGGGGAGGGAGGATAGGAGAGGAATCTAGTTCGTCCGAAGCTTTTTCCCGGTGATTTCCAGAGCGAATGCGATCCAAATTCGGTGTTGTCCAATTCGTACTCCCATTTCCCCGAACTCGTTCTCCGTATGTTCGACTCCGGCTCCATCCAGTCTGACTCCAGCTCCCAATACTTTATAAGTAGTGACGGTGGACATATCTTAATAACCCGTTCGGTTGGGGACATTACTCGGGCGCGAAAAGGTTTGTTAGCGACGCGGTTACGATTCCAAACGTGTCCAACCGATTTCCGTTTCCAGTTTTTGATTCAGCTTTCCAATTAACCCTATCCGATCGAGTTCCGAATCCAGCTCTCGATGCCGGCATTCGACGGGCTCCGACATCCATGAAACCCCACAGGGTTTGCCAATCTATGACATCTACATCCGTGCCTCCTGGACAGGCGCGAGCAGCCCCGTCCCTGTGCGAACCCCGATCCCGCGCGGGGCGCGCTCCCGTTTGACAGTGGCTTACCCGGGATATCGTTTCTTGTGCAAGAAGTCCTGAACAGTCGGCCTATCGGCGGCTCCTTCGGACGAGGCCCGGCACCACCGAGAAACCGTGTGCCATACGATGTTCGGTTTGCCCATGTTCGGTTTCTTCGGAATGGACCCGAAGACTTCGAAATCGATGTTGTTTTTTTTGTTGTTGCGAAAAGTCCTAGGCGGTTCGCGCATTTTCGGGGCGTTTAAAGTGGACCCGAATTTTGTTTTGGCACATGTGCTATGGCTTTGGCCATTTTCAAATGGGTTGATAAACTTTTCGGGTCGTCGCATGACCGAACCCGACAGCTTTTTTTGAAGAAGCCCGATGCCGTTTGCTCATTTTCGGGTCAGCACACCGCTTGGCTTTAAAATTTTAAACCACCAATCTTGCATCGCCATTATTCTCAGGCTTGACCGAAAAAACATGTATTCAATCATGCAGCCGTGCGCCAAAACGCGAGCGGGCAACAACAGTCAATGCATTGCTACACTTGCCAGGGCACCGAAGGCACAAATGTTTACAACCATTCGTCGTATGGATGACGGCTAAAGGAAACATGCACGAATTGAATTTATTTTTCTCATCGGCGGCGCCAACCCGCGGTTTTTTATGCAAATGTTCCCCCGTTCGTGTCTTGGGCGGCTTTGCTACAGATTGCGCGGGACAGCGGTTGGTCGAAGACTTTTTTTTTTTGAAAAGTCAAGGCCCCAAGCACATCATTGTCGCTGCAACGATCAATTGTTCCAAACCGTTTGAGTAATTGAGCACTGCATGATGGTCGCCTTGCCTTCTCGATTAGTGGGCGTGCAGGATGTTCAGAATGCGTCTGGGACATCGGGCTTGACAGATATAATATCATTTGTTCTTGCTTCTTCGACCACGCCGAATTGAGTGAATACACGATTTTGCTCGTAATGCAAGTTTCCAAAATTGCAAATTCCTTCACGATGTTCATCGACGTGCGTTTCCAAGCTTGCACGCATTTTTCAGATTTTCCGTTGGCCGCTTCCGATTTTCTGCTGAATTCTTTTTTACATCTGCAATTTGCGTGTATATATACATATATATACGTATGCGCATATATTGCACGTGCTCTCGCGGTTCAATTGCGTTCCCGTTGTAATAATTGAAATTTATCCCAATGCGATTCCATCCCAGTTTCTGCGCCATCTCTCAGCAATCGCATGCAAAATATGTTGCGAGTTCCTTCTTCGCTGCGAGTCACTAGCAGAGTGTCGTCGACATAAGGAACGAAGCAGCCATACGCCAAAAGCGCCTGGGCAAGGAAAGCTAGAGCGACATGCCAAACGCGCGCCAACCTGGCCTGGACGCGCCAAATGCGCGCCGAGCGGACGGAGGGAAGAAGAAGGAGGAAGATGATGAACATACGATTGCACGCCAAACGCGTGCCCAAGTGGCCTGGACACGCCACATGCGCGCCGGGAAGGCGGATCATACGTACTTGTCTTCTCCACGTTCAAGTGGCCTGGAAACTTTGATTGCTAACGCGTCCCATTTTTTGTTGTCTAGCAGAGTGTTTATTAAAATTCAGAACTAGGGAAACAAGGATACATATGTGATAACAATCCTGCTGCCCACTCTCTTT